GCCCTCTGGACTCTGCTCTTACAAAACTGTTACACAAAGCAACATTAATTAGTACGTCAACCATAAATCTTCTTTAACAAACTGCCGGTCTTAACATTTATTTCAGCTGGGAATGAAAATGTTGAGCAACATCGAATTTAGCCGCCGAAGTGAACAGGTATTTAACATTTGCGGTTCCTGGGGTGTCTATGAAGTCTCTAGGGTATGAGAAGAAAAGAAAACAGATCGAGAAATATTTAAAAAATTATGAGATGGGGGCATAAGTAGGATGTCAAAAACAAACAGTTCTGGGATGATATGAATTAATGGGACGAAATTTTAGGTCTGATTTCTCTCGGAAAAACCTAGAGAGAGGGTGGAGCAATGCAAAAAGTTTTGGCATCAAGTGTGCAAGTGAAATCTACAGTTACATTTGGCCCACATAATTATGCTGTATTAAGATTTTAGTATAAAATTATAATGGGTGTAGATGGTATTATAGTGGATTCAGATGAGATAGTGTTCTTTTAATTTTCCATTTAAAAGATATTTATGTGCACTAGAAGATGAGTATATAGAAAATAACTTTCCGAAAATATTATCCACATTGATCCATCATAATACCCTCCATCAATTATTATCCATTACAATTTTATGCTAGATTTTTATCCGATCCAATTTGATACACCAATCGTAACCCACAAGTATTTGCCAATTTTCCTAAACAACGAAACATCGCTAAATTCATTTTATCCATTAAAAGTAAAGAACAATGAGAATACTGTTCGCCGTCCGGTCATTTCAAAAGCACAAAATAACCGACCACATATCAAATATTTAGTTGTATATACATGGATAAAATGATTCTACCACCAAGCGGTGCCCCTTTTTAGTAGAGATTCTTTAAAAATCATTTTTTTCCCCAAACTAAATTTCAACTGCACATTTTCCCAATAAAATAATTTCGTCCGTAAACCCATAACTTTTCTTACACATTCTCCAATAAAATCACTTTGCGCAAAATCTATTCCCAAAAAATCTACATCATACAAGCTCTATATATGATTAAGACGAAAGGAATACGCACAAAAGAATAAGGTGAGTAAAGAAGACTCAAAGCAGATAAAGAAGAAACTATGGGAACGCTCTTCCTCAAATAGGTCATGGAAGGTTGCATTTATAGGCAATTCAGGCAATGGATAGGAACACGAAAATGGGAAGATGAATAGGGGCACTTACAGGCAATTCAGGCTGGAAAGCTAGAAACCAGAAGGTTTTTAAAGATTCAGATAATGGCGGCTTGCTTAAATTTCTAGAAACAGGAGCTTGTGGCCCCAATAGCTGATTGCAGAGCGCATG